TCTTATATGTTATTATTAGTAATAATAATTATATCTGAATTAGCAAAAATATAGAGTTGACATAAAAAACGACCATTAAATTATAGTTGAGTTATATAGAAATGGCAACTATTTCTTTCAGTGCACATGCAGCATAATCACATTTTTTAAAACTATCTCTATATATATGTATACGTGAAGATGTAGAAAGAGTTTTTTAAATTTATATATTTTGAAAAATAGTTGTATATATCTGACTAAAAAGAACATTAGATTCGCACATTTGTGATTTTAAGATAAAAAATCGAAATATTATAACGCTAACGATTTAACTGTTAAATCCATTCTCGTAAATGATGCCAGATTTTACATTTCGATAATGTAGACAATATACAATATCAATATGTATGATATTACCTACGTTTACATAGCACACGTGGCCAATATTATTTGGTAAGATAACCTCACACTCTGCTTTCTCTCCCTTCCTATGGAGCCACATATTACATCGTCACGATGTTTAATTAATGTTGACATAACGGATAGGTGGAAGAGAAATACACTGTGATTTCCGTAGAAAATTTTGTGTAATCTTAGAGAATGATATTTACGCTACTTTTTATCAAGAGTAGTAACCAATAAGAGCAAAGTGCAGTTATGAGTAATAAAATAATAAAGTAAAAGGTTTTTACTTCTTTATTTCTGAATTTATGACTTCATTCAAACAATTTGTACGTTACGATTCACTTTGAACTTTTTACATAAATTGCTTAATTATCGATATTGTTATACTAATACTTTATTATTCGTAATAAAATTTTATACGCGCATACATATGTACGTATATTGCGGTATACGGCGATAATATCTTTTCTCATAATTCAAATTATTAAGTTTCTTTTCTCTTGCTGGACAAACGTCTGAGACGTTCTTAAAAAAGTTACAGTTAATATAAAAGTTACTCTATACATACCGCTATAAGAAATCAGGTTTCTTCAACAGAGATAACTTTACACCAAGGCAAAGGAAAATTTTAAATTATGCAAACACATTTAAGAAAATAATCAATAAGCAATGGGTAGCTCCTTTGAACTTCGAGATGAAATTTGTAAAGTTGCTGACTGAACTTTTGCCCGAACTATTCTTTATCGTTATGCCGAGTTCCCTCGCGTTTGGCGCAGTCTACTTCGTCTCACAACAAATTTCAATAAAACAATGAGCGCAACACGTTTAGTCATAGATTATTATTACCGGTAGAAACGCGTATTGATGAAACGATAGCAAGAATTATTGCACGTTGAATTGCGATGTGGAGGCGAGATGCAACGGGGGTGACGTTTGAAAAAAAATACAATTACAGCGCGATAATAAAGTGATGTATGGCCCGTTCGGGCGAGATGCATGAAGCAAAGGGGGTGAAAACCTCCACGTTACCTCGCACCACCGAAGTTTCCAATCTATAAGGTATCAACAGTTGCCTTTAGCTGCGCGTTGTATACCTCCGGGACTTGCGATTTAGAATGTTGATATAACGGATGGGTGAGCAAGAAAAGCGCTCCGCGCGCGAACCTCTTTTACGAGACGTGCGAGATTGAAAGGGAATAAAAAAAAAAGCTCTCACGACTCTTGTATCGAATTTCACCCTGCGTGCTTTCACCGGTGTATTTATATCGCGTCTATGTACGCTTCATTATGTTTACATTCAAATGGTAAACTTCTCCATCGCCGGAGGAGAGAGGGGAAAGTTTTTCGAGAGTTCTGGCGTAAATCTAATCTATCGTGCGCCATGTTGAGCGATCTCGGAAAAGGCATTCGAAGCAGCGAGATTTCAAAACGAAATTCTGCGTGTAAGATCAGAAAGAGAAGCTTCGAAGATTCTATAGTATCGCGTTCGATAATTTGACACGTGAGAGAATATTGCATCCTTTTCAATTTGCTCTCTCATCGAATGTGTTGTTTCTAGCGATCGACAGACCGGTCGTCTCGGTATAATCGTCAAAAAATGATGGCAAAGGAAGTTCTTGTCTCAAGAACGAAACGCGAAGGTGTCGCTTGACCGAACTTCCGAAATTTCACGGTGCGGAAGCGGACGAGTGACTCGTCCTCTTTTGCGATCGCTCATTCTACCATATACCTTCGGGAGTCGCGATTCGGAATGTTGATATAACGGATGGGTGAACAAGAAAAGCATCGCGGCGGCGGGCTCTTTCCTTCTTTTTCTTCTGTTCCTTCCTTCGCTTTTCCTCTCGCTTGCTCGCGCTCCTCTCTCGCGGGCGCTCGTATCCGGCAAAAAAGCACCGGTGCCGGTACATTGAACCCGGCAAGAGTTCCGCCACACGTTCGCGAGGCTGTTTCAGTATTTGACTGTTCCCCGACACCGTGCAACGGCGGCGGCTGCGGTGGTTCTCCTCCTCTCCTCCACCTTCTCGGTTCGACTCCCGTCGAGACGACAGAACGCCATAAGCAACCAATTTAAATGTAAATTGAAAACCACCATGGCATACAAATTGTTCGACTCGCCGTCAAAAAATACTGCGAGCAAAGATCAAACGGAAGACAAGACACGCGGGTGAGAGGGTGGCATATATGGGGCCGATGGTCGAGATAGAACGAGAAAAGGTGCCCTGGAGAAGGGCATCTCGAATGGCCAAGTCCCGACCTTCTTCACTGCGCATCGGGATCTACCACCCGGGTGTTGTATCCCCTTTTCTCTCCGTTACGACAGAGAAGCTGTCCCGTCCGCTGTTTGTTCCACCCTACGGCGGAACGGATCTCGGCTACCTATGCTAGACTGCCCTCTAAATATTTGCCTTTCTCTTGTCCCGACGAAAGTTGGCTCGCCGTAACGCGTTTCCATGCGAGAGCACGGCTCACTCAACCGAGGGATAGTAGTCATCGCGTCTCCTCCGTCGGAGGGAAAACTTCCGGCATTCAAAGAGTCTTCTTTTTCACCATTCGCTTTTCTCCCCCTCTTTCTTTCGCCGCATGGAGGCTCGCGCGCCTCGTCGTCAAGTTCCTCCGCACGCTTGACGTACGATCGGAAGAAGCGAGAGATTAATGGATCAGTTTATCCTCTCCATTAACGATTTCGGATCGCGGATCCAGCCTCACAACGAGAAATTAATTTTCCATTCTCGTAACTTAGAGGCAGAGATCCGACTTACCATAATTTTCGTGAATTCGAATCATTCCCCGACGGAACGGCTGTTGAATATTCTCTCGCTTATTATGAACGGTTTCTGTAATCAACGTCAGTTACAGTCGAACATGTTGAGCGGTAGCCCGCGCGATAATCGAGTATCCAATTGAGTTCACTCAGTTCGTGCTCTTTCAAAGTGGCATAACAAATATTTGTTTCTCAGTTATAATAATTTTAGCACTACTAACCATTCCTATTGAAGAAAATACAATTGAGAACAATTTCTACCACATCGGTCTGTTTTCTTATTTTCCAATGTCCCTCAAAATGCTACAATATTTCCACCAGTAAAATTTTTCATTATTTCATCTTCGCAGAAAATTACAGTAATATTCTCCTGAATTAAAAAAAAAAAATTCTGAAATGTAAAACTGATCAATAAAATATATGCAATTTATGTGCGGCGCATCAATCTTTTTACAATGCTAAAATATTTCATGTAATTCAAGAGACACTGAGAAACAATTTTCTTACATTTGATGTTTTACTAAAACTGATCTTTACAGTTGTACATCGAGCCTGCAAAATACTTGTCTGCAGCCGTCATCGACATTATGTGTCATCGGCATTATACGTTAATTCGTTCAATGCAGACAGACGATGTGGGATCGATGCGAGAACGATGTAACGACTAATTCATCGCGCGGTTTGTCATTAACTGTCGCGCACATACGCATTTGGGAACATTTCCGGTTACGTTTACTATGGCAGCGGCATAAATTTTTGACGACGACGTATACGTGTCATGATTTATCGATTCCGACCGGTTAGCATCGACAGCCTCCGGCCGGAGGTAATGGCAACGCCATGAACGAACCCGATAGAACGTACTGATCATTAGCTGCCGGCCAAGGTTGCGGCAACATTTCGTCGATCGTATCTCGTGGCCGTTCGACACGTTACGCGTAATCAATATGTACCCGCCGGTCCCTCGAAGGGGCATTCCGCGCCGTTCGAAATATCACGATAATGCATAGGCATTGCCCCCTCTTCCGAAACGTGCTAATTTAAATTAGCCCCGTGCTTTCAGCCTGACATAGCGCACGCGTAAATTTAAATTTCTGAAATGGGATGCAGCGCCGATAGGAGAGTGCTTGTTAGCGCCGTGGTAGCCATCAACATAATTAACCCCCTAAGTGGAGACGCCTGTGTATCATTATTAGTACACGCCTCGATGTTATGGGGTTCGAATGTGCTTACGAGAATTTAGGTCTGCGTCAGGTGTGTCCTGATTTAAGCGTACGTTACGCGAAATATCCAATTAAGTCATAATTGAGGCCCGTATTGCATCCAGTATAACATTGTCGTATACGGAGCGGATATTTACGTTCACGCGAGGGACACGAGGGAGGTCTTTTGATACGACGACGAACGCGTAACGAACAAGAGCCTCTTGATTCGATCTACTTTCCTCGACGTGAAAGCGTCGTCGGGGCATATGTACGTGTCACGGGGGGGGAGGGGTGGAATATGCCAATTCAGCATATTGCTATACCTTCGAAATCAAAGGAACATAATATAACGAAACTCTTAACGCAACGACCTAGTTCGTTAAACGTACCCCATCTTGCACACCCTTACGTGACTATCCTTCCGAATGGTATATTCCCGCCTTTCCGAATGATATCTTCTCGCGAAGAGAATTCTCTTTATTGCGCCCTTCGTGATCTCGCTATCGTGTCTATATACCTGTATATAATATATATATATATATATATATATACATCGTATAAAAATCTCTCTTTCTATCTTTCTCAGTATGATACGATATTACAATAAATCCGAATACTGATTCGCATTTTTTACTTCTTTTACCTTACAGTTCGCAACGGTTATTCTTGCGTACCTGTTGCTCTCTCGGAAGGACTTGATATTCGATTGAACATAGCTGCCAGGGCGGTGCGATACGGGCCAAATGGCGTAGAAGTATGGGCCTCACCCGCCCGCAGTCTGCACACAAATCACACCATTTATAAAGCGGACGCCGTTCTGGTTACACTACCCCTTGGTGTCCTGAAGACTTCTTCACCGCCTTCCGGAGTCACCTTCAATCCACCGCTTCCAGATTGGAAGGCTCAAGCCATTCAACGACTTGGTTTTGGCAATTTAAATAAGGTGAGCGCCGTGTGTGTATGTGTATGTACACTTCGACGAGTCGCTGTCGTCCCTAAAGCGGTCTAATTTATGCTGCTCCCGAAGACAGCGGACGATCTTGTCGAGCGTTGATGTAAGAATAATAAAAACTGCATAATTGCGCATTAAGATTTATCACTGATCGCTCAGTGGCAGATTTCAATAGCAATTAATGTGTGTTCTTTTCACGAACAAGGATCACATTGAAAGGTCCAACTTACACACGTCAGTGACAAATTAAGGAATATCGATTACACTCAAAAAGAAGTGAACAAACTAAATTCTACGAAATACATGAGATTATATTATCATAAACAATTTATCGAAATTATATCTTGATAAATTGATTAATTATGTATCAAATTGAAACTTGGGGTAAAATTTAATTTAATCAAAAATTATATGTGTAAAATCAATGAGTAAAATTTTATGTGAAGTAAAATTATTATTATTAATTTTATTAAGTATGTAAAATTATAAAATACGCAATAAAATTAATTATTTAAAAAAATATTAAAATTAATTATTTGATAGTTACAGTATTATTTGACAGAAATATTAAAGATTAGTATAAACATTAGATTATAACAGTTACAATATTTATATAACTTTGAATCAGATAATTTTTTTACTAATGGACAAAATTATAACGAAATAATATCAATTGCTATACACACAACGGAATACAACCAACTGTCCTCTGATTTTAATAAGTCCTTGGATTTTTAAATATAGACAAAAGTAAGAAACACATTTTTTTTATAAGCATGTTTTTACATGTTAAGGGAATGGAACTTCTCTTAAAAAACATTAAATTTTAAATAGGTTTTTTCCCTAAATCATTAAAATTAAAAATATATTTTAAATAAAAGTTCAATGATTTCAAGAATATTATATGTATATGTTAAAGATTTTAAAAAATCTTAATTTTTAAAAATTGAAATAAAAATTTAAAAAATTGTATACATATAAAAAGATTAAAAAAAATTTTTATGTAAAAAAAATAGGATGTGTTAAATATTTTTTCGGCTTTTCGTATTCTAAGCTCGAATGCTATTTGTTCACAAATTTTTTTCAGCCAATGTTTTCTATCTGCAACTCGTTTTTTACGTAAAAATATCGCACAATGTCAGAATTCCGAAAAAGAGTTTCCATTCGTATTTCAATATAGTTTCAATCCCGTAATTTTCCCTTTAATCTCTCAGGTAGTACTATGCTTTGAGCGCATTTTCTGGGATCCAACGGCCAATTTGTTCGGCCACGTGGGAAGTACCACCGCATCGCGCGGCGAGCTCTTCCTGTTCTGGAACTTATACAAGGCACCGGTTCTATTGGCTCTCGTCGCTGGTGAAGCGGCTTGCGTAATGGAAAATGTCAGTGACGATGTTATCGTCGGCCGTTGCATCGCCGTCCTGAAAGTAAGTGGATGAAATTTCTAGTCGAAGTGTGAGGGTGAAGGGTGGATAGCAGTCTTACTTAGATTAAGCGTAGCAACGCATTTTATACTAATCATTATTATATTATCCACACCTCGTATCCTCGTTATATTTTACCAAAAAAAAAGATGAAAGGAGTTGAAAAAAGATTTTTTTTATTTTCATAGGGCATTTTTGGAAACCAAGTGGTACCGCAACCGCGCGAGAGCGTTGTGACAAGGTGGCGGGCGGATCCTTGGGCACGAGGCTCCTATAGTTTTGTCGCAGTTGGCAGTTCTGGCAGCGATTACGATCTTTTGGCAGCACCCGTGTCACCCCCGCACCTGGTTAATCAGCCCCCGCCGCAGCCAAGAGTCTTCTTTGCAGGTAAATATTAAATTGATACGTTTCACGATATTGCATACCGAGACGTAAAAAACTTAAAGAGCTTTTTAAGCTCTTTTGATGAAGATTTTATTTGTTATCGCGCTGTTTATTTGCGTCCTCGTAAATATATGTAAGCGTCACTTGCGTTTACGGGACATAGCAATTTGCTTCGCTAAGATACTCCGTTCTCGACTTGTGTGTGTAATAATTCCGTATATGTTAATAGTATTTAAAGATCCTATTATTCGCAACATGTTGGTCATGTAAACCAGGTGAATTAGCGTTTGCGAGAATTTGACGAAATGTATTAAACATCAGAAAAAATTTATCATAAACAAACGAAAATGTAATGACAATACAAAATATAAGTTCATATAAGATGTCACATCTCTCTCTCTCTCCCTCTCCCTCTCCCTCTCCCTCTCTCTCTCTCTCTCTCTCTCTCTCTCTCTCACTCTCTCGTAATAAACTTTTTTTCACGAGAGTGCACGTTGACCTATTTACACGACGGGTTTTCAGGGGAGCACACTATACGGAATTATCCAGCCACCGTACATGGCGCATTCCTCAGCGGCCTTCGTGAGGGTGGACGTATAGCCGACCAACTCTGTGGAAGTCCTTACGCGCCACCAACAATGACAGCTTCCGTTCCGCCAACGACAGGGATCACGCCAGCAAATTCCGGCAGCAGTTCGACGCCTTAATATTTTCACATCGACTATGTCGTCGTTTTTGTTTTTCTTTGAGCAAAGAAAGTACGAGGATAGCCATTTACGAAGAAACTCTTCCTCAAGGCTCTTTCGGAAAAAAAGAATTCTTCGCGATAATTTCGAATCATGCGACAACTTGACGTACTCGTTAACTCGCTATTAATTTCACAACTTGTACGTGATTGTTTTCAGTAAATAACTTAACTCACAATCAGTGAGGCGACATTTATGACTTAAGTTCGATTATATGAAAATATGAGAGAATATTAAATAATTTTAAAACGCTCAATTTTCTATAGCACTATAATTATTAAATATATGTGTGTATGTGTGTATATATTGTATATATACACACGTATGTATATCATTTACGCAAATATACAGCTCAAATGTTTTATTTATCATCATCATTACTTATACATATACACATATATATGTGCGCTTGCGCGTATACATATATAAAATATAATATGAAAAAAAATAAAATATATAGATATATATATACATATAATAAAAAATATATATGTATATATTTTTTATTTTAATTATATTATTTATCTATATATGAATATAAATGATTGCTCGATTAAGTGATAGCTTTTTTCATATTTTCTTATCTAGCAAGTGAAACCCCATTTATATTACAGTTTCCTAATTTTTATATACTTATGCTTCCGTTATTTACTTTGGCCAATATGATTTATAACAATTCACATGATTTACTGTATTTTCTTGCAATTTTATACTCTTCTATAACTGAAAAGTATTACTATTTATATAAGCATATTTATTTCATTTCGTTTTGGAGTATTATATCCCAATATGAAATAAATATCTACTAAATAAAGACAGCGATATTCGAAATTATGTGTAAATTGTTTATAAATCGTATCGCAAAATGCCACAATGATAAGTTATTTTGGAGCACAGTATTACTTTGATCATAGAAGGAAAAAGAATAGAATGAAAATTTAATTATATTCGTATTAATTTGATGTAATAGAAAAATACAATTTTCAAAATTTAAGTTTATGAAAGCTAATAATCGATAATTATTAGAATTTCATTGGATGTTTGTTGCATTTAAATATATACCTAAATTTTTATCTCTATAACTAACGACTTAGTTTACATTCAAATGGTTATTATATAGTAAAGTTATATTATCACAGTTATAAATTTATGATAGATTTTTCATTTTGGAGTATTATACCGAATATAACATATTTCTGCGCAAAATAAGGTGCATATTTTCATTTTACAGTCGAAATCTTCATTTAACTACGAAAATAATTAGATGTAATTATAGATATATTTATAAATATGTAAAACTGCGTTATAAATTTAATTGTAAGATTTGACATGTGTATGTAACAGAAGATTTATATATATTAAAAGCATTATTATACACATATCAATATAATATCTAATAGGATTTTCTTTTCATGTGTCTTGATATGTTACATCTATATAGCATTTTTATTAAATTCACACTATGTTGCGGTCGATGCATATTTACCAATATGCAATGTCATTAGGGCAATACTTCTTCATACAACCCCAATTTAACATGATGATAAAACTCGTTTATCTCGATTCATGCTCGTATGAGCATACGAAGAAGAAATTTTCGGGCAACAGTGACAGATATCAATAAAGAGCAAATGTCTGTACTTTCGCATTTGCAATCTTGATTTAATCAGTCATACCTAATAACCATGCATGCTATTTATGTAGCAACCATAATCTCACCGATCATATTAGATTTCCTATCTAATTTGCGAATATTGAATATTCGATCATTCCGGTACGGATATTACATTGCATGCATCGCCGCCGGCGCATTATTTCGAACTGTATAGATTTCCACTGATGTGCAAACAACTTTGAAATGTGTCCACTAAAATTTTAAACCTATTGCAATAATGTACGCAAAGCCGTAATCCTAAATATAGATGTTTTATTAATTGAAAAGTACATCTAAAAAAAATAATCTAATTGTGAAGTGAAATTTCCGGTAACCTCATATTCTAAGCAGAAATTTTTACAGAAAGAGTATTCCTCTTCCAATGCACTGGACTATTCATCAAAAATATATTGGAGATTATTCTAACAGTTTTCCTCTTGTATTAACAATATGTTAACTTAAAGCGCAATGCCCTCTTACGAGTTCATGAAAAGCAATGTGTGTCGCTGCCTTTTGGCGCGTATTATAGTCGTGTTATATCGTGTTACATCATGGCTGCGTTCCGTTACAGGCATATGCGCGTAAAGTGAGCGTCACGTATATACTATAGGGGAGTGCGCGCATATGCATGAAACGGAATAACGCAGCCCATGTTGCATTGTGTTTATTATCTAGTGTTTGTGTTGTGTTCTCTCCGGAATGAATGAAGTACAAGGATTCTTACAATTGATCAGCTTAGAGAAGTACTGGTCTACATTTGAGCGTAAGTATACTATTTATCACGCATTGCATTGTTTGTTATCGATATGATGCAGGCATATGCCGTTTAAGAGACACACCTATAGCAATTTAAAAAAACATAAAATATAATATGTATTATAGAGAACAAATATCCGTTTGTGACTGTTGTATGCTGATGTAAAGGTTATATCAAGGCTATCATAATATTTCGGTAATATTCTACACCATTTCTATATCGTTTTGATTTGTTTCGTTTTTGTTTTCATTATGTTTTTAAAAAAAACTGATTGCCTGTCGTAATAATAATTTTATTCCGCATACTCTCTTTAACCCTCCGTTTGCAATTTAGATCGCAAGTGAAAGAAAGGTGTTACGAAAAAGCTTATTTTTGCCGTGCTCGGGGAAAGTATATATTATATTTTTGACGTAAAGAATCTGATGGTGTTAGTTAAAAGAAGGAACTTTTGTATGTGTTCTTATCATTTTACGCAATTTTGATTAATAACATCGAATTCAAGAACTATAAGAAATAATGCTTCTTTTATTTTCTCAGAGCACAACAAAAACAGCTACCTTGCGTTATAACCTATCCTTCTTAGTTTGTTTGAAATAAAGAAAGGACAGATTCTAATTTAAAAAAATCTTGTTAATAATACGGTTTTACTCATCAAGTGTTAGTACACGATAACTTCGGTCAGTGATTATAGACAAACCAGCACAAAAATATGGTTGCAGACAAAGGATTAAAGATATACTGAATAAGAGGATTGTGTATGTGCTATCTTTATCGTAACTAATTAAATTTAGACATGTTCTCTATAAACTATATCTTCTCATTTATTTTTCATTTGTTTAAAGCTTTATCTTGTTTTTACTTACCCTTGTATGAATGTCAAATTGAGATGTTTATTTTGCCGATTAAACAAAATGGCGGTGTTGGCGAAAAAAATGTTTTTTTCAATTTAACGCTTTATTTTTTTATTTATGTCATTAATTCTTGCGGCACAATGTGGCACAAAGCGAGCACAACTCAGCACAATGTTTATTTTTCCGATTAAACAAAATGGCGGTGCTAACTTCACATACATTTTTTTTCGAAATTCGGCTTTATAATGCTTCCATGTGATCTATATTGTATGTCTGAGTTGTGCTAGCGTAGCACAACTGAGCATAACCGTTAAATTCGCCGACACACCGATATTAAGGGTACTTTACTCTTGAGCGCGGCTCTTCGCCCAAGACTTCTTTTTCAAAATTTGGGTTTGTAGTGTTTCCATGTGATCGATACTATATCGACCAAAAATAAAGAATAAAACAACAATAATGAGTCACGAACTAGATATTGGCCAACATGTCCCAATGAAGGAAGTCTTAAAACGTTTTCTTGAATTGCCAGAGTGTCTTCAGACAATTTTGTCAAATTTAGAATGTTTGACCAAAACGAATGAACCATTGACTAATGTTGTTCAGACTGAAATGTGGAAAAAAAAGATTACCAGTCATTTTCAAAGTAAAGCTGTGATACCACTTTTTCTTTTTTTTGATGATATGGATCTAGATGACATCGCTGGATCACATGCTGGTGATCATAAATTAGGATCTCTTTGCTGTAGCATGTCTACCGCAAGAATTCTTGTCTAAGCTTGAAAATATTTTTTTAGCATGCTTGTTTTCGTCTGATGCTAAAATTCATGGAAAGAAAAACTTGTTTCAACCAATAATTCAAGATCTGATTGATATAGAGACAAATGGATTAATCATAATCCACAATGGAAGAGAAGAACACATTTATTTCTGCATGTGTTTATTGCTTAGGGACAATTTAGGTATACATTCCATTTGTGGCTTATCCGAAGATTTAATGCAAATTATCCTTGTCGAATGTGTAAGCTACACAGAAATAAAATGATCACTGCAACAATTCTCGATTATAAAAAATTACGAACAGTACAATATTACTCTGATGATGTTAACATGCAGACCTTGGTAATGACTGGTATTAAAGAACAATGTGTGTGGGATGCGATTCCTAGTTTTTCTTTTATTTCAAGCATTTGCTTCGACATTATGCATGATTTATTCGAAGGAGTATGTTCATATGATTTAGCTCTTATAATACACAACTTAGTTTATGTTAAAAAATATTTGTCTCTTGAAACTTTGAATAATAGAATGTTTTATTTTGATTATGGTATGGTAGAATCCGATAATGCTGTGCCACGTATAAATAAAGAGCACTTGTTTAATGGAAAATTAAGGTTCTCTGCAACTGAAATGTTATGTTTCGTTAGATATCTTTGATTAATAATTGGCGATTTAATTCCCGAAGGAGATAATTGCTGACTTCTTTATATAAAACTATAAATCAATCGTGGATATTGTCACAGCTCCTTATGTTAACATTAGATCATTAAATTACTTTGCTATTTTGATATCAGAACATCATGAAATGTATTTAAGTACCTTCCCTCACGTGACTCTAAAGCCTAAACATCATTATATGCTACATTATCCTCAAGTCATGCGTAATGTTGGTCCGCTATGGTTCGTATGTTGTCTTCGATGGGAAGCGAAACACAGGCCTTTTAAACAAATAGCTCGTGCTACAAATTCACGAAGAAATTTACCGTTAACCCTTGCTATTAAACATCAGCTGAGTATATGTGCTCGATTTTTATGGACATGGTATTTTGATGATA